AAAAGGATGAAAATTATAGTAACACTAAAATACTGCAGATGATGGAAATCTGAAATAAAAACAGAAAGTGCTGCAGATGCTCAGCAGGCCTGGCAGCACCTGTGGAGAGAGATACAGGGCTAGCATTTCAATGGAATGACCCTTCTTCTGAATCTAGAATTATTCAGAACAGAAGAGGACCTTCAGTCTATTAAGCCTACACCACATCTACACTCATTTAACTTTGCTGCCTTTGGCCTATAACTCTGGATATTATGGTGGCTCATCCAAATATTTTATACAGATTGTGAGGTTTCCTGCCTCAACTACTGCCCCAGGCAGTCCATTCTAGACTTAGGCCACCCTCTGAGCGAGGACAATTTTTCCAAATTCTTCTCTAAACTTCCTGTCATTCATCTTAGAACTATGCCCCCTCTAATCAACCTACTCAGGAATGTTATATCACTCCACTGGAGCAAGTAGGATTTGAACCCAGGTCTCCTAGCCCCAGGGTAGGGACATTACCACTGCACCACAAGGTCTTATGCTAGCCCCCTCTATTACTGATGAAGTGGAACAGCTGTTTTCAATCCAACCTGTCCGTGCCCCTCGTAGTTTTATACGCTTCAATCAAGTTCCTCCTCAGCCTTGGCTGCTTTAAAGAAAGCAACCTGAGCTTATCCAGCCTCTTTTCATCGTTGAAATGCTCCAAACTAGGCAACATCCTGGTGAATCTCCTCTGCATCCCCTCCTGTGCAATGATATCCTTCCTATAGCGTGGTGACCAGAACTGCATACAAAGAACTGAGAAGTTCTGAAGAAGAGTCATTCTGGACTTGAAACGTTAACTCTATTTCTCTCTCCACAGATGCTGCCAGACCTGCTGAGTTTCTCCAGCAATTTCTGTGAAAAATTGTAATGGCTTGCTATATTGTATGGAGGTCCAGCCAATTGTAATAGTCTCACTAGTATGCAGCTGACTGAGCAACTGCCTCCTTCCCCCCTCACTAAATATTGGCTTTCAATATTTCAAACAGCTATTTCACAGGATTTCCACACCCCTAGACACTATGGGCAACTTAGCATGGCCAATCCAACTAACCTACACATCTTTGGACTGTAGGAAGAAACCCAGGCAGGCACAGAGAGAACATGCAAGCTTAACACAGACAATCACCCAAGGCTGGGATTGAACCCTGGTCCCTAGCACTGCTAGGCAGCAGTGCTAACCAATGAACCACCATGCCATCTCTTCAGAGGCTCACCTTAGTCTGCTGGGATGAATAAAAATATGCTATGCCACTATTTGGCAGGGAAATGATCTTTGGTATCCTGGCTAATAATCCAGCACCAATTAACATCCAAAATACAGACTGCCCGGTTATTATCACTGCACATTTGTGCTTGTGGGAGCTTGCTGTGTACAAATTAGCTTCTGCCTTTTCTGCATTACTATAGTGACTACATTTAAGAAGGACTTAATTGGCTGTAAAACACTTTGTGGTGGCTGCTGGTTTGTAAAATGTTATATAAATGTAACCCTCCTTCTGTTCCTTCCTGATCTTTCACGGTCCATTCTCTGCAACTCTCAGGTGCAGCACCCTTATGTTCATTGTTTATGTACACCTCACAACAGACTGGTGGAGTTAATCAACGATGGATAGCATCACACTGAAGCTGATGTTATGTTCCAAAGTGTCACATTCCTGGGAGTGATGCTCACCAACAATCTGTCCTGGTCCACCCACATTGATGTGACACCTCTACTTCCTCAGGAGACTAAGGAATTTCTACAAGTCCATAAAGACTCTTACCAATTTTTACAGATACACCATAGAAAGCATTCACTCTGAATGCATTACAGCTTGGTATGGCAACTGCACTGCCCAGTACAGTAAGAAACTACAGTGAGTTGTGAGCACAGCCCAGTCAATCACACAAGCCAACCTTCCATCCATTGACTCTATCAATACTTCTTGCCGCCTCAGGAAGGCAGCCAAGTTAATCAAAGACCCCTCCCAGCCTGGTTATAATCTCTTCCAACATCTTCTGTTTGGCAGAAAATACAAAAGCTTAAACGCATGTATTAACAGATTCAAGAACAGCTTCTTCCCTGCTGTTGTTAGACTTCTGAATGGACCTGTCAAATTTTAAATTTAATGTTGATCTCGCTCTTTATGTACCTTCTCTGCAGTTGTAACATTGCATTCTTCGCTCTGTTCTATTACCCTAAAGCACATTGTATGGTATGATCTGCCAGTACTGCATGCAAAACTAAACTCTTCACTGTGCCTAGGTACGTGTGACAACAATAAATCAAATCAAATCAAATCATCATCCAACACCCTCATATATACCCAGTATCAATCAGGGTTTACTGCATGAGGATCAGGAATGTCAACCAAAGCTCTCTCCAGTTCTACCATGGAGATCAAAGTATTCAACTCAGGTTATGAAACCAAACTCAGGATTTTCAACATGGTCAGATTTAATTCAGGCAGTCCATTTTCTGAGTTAATAGTTAACAACTAAGTCAGTGACAAATCAGGCACACAGATCAATCCGAGTTCTCTGTCAACCATTACTTACTGCTTCAAGTATGATCAGAACTTGCCAGCTATCTCCTGGTCAGAGAAGGGTTTTCTCTCTGACGACCAAATTACTTTGAGCTGAGAAAGTATCATTTACTCTACTTCTCTCATCCCCATTGGTGCTGACATAGTTTTACAATTATTCTGGAAATACCCACTGCTACAATGAATTCCAAGTCACATTACAGTCAACTTCTTCCAGTTCGTACTGGCTTGTTGCACTTCACAGAACAGCACCACACACAGACCAGGCCTCATCTGAGGGAACAATGCATGTCTGAGTAACAGACTCTGCCGGCTAAATCCTCTGTTTACTTCACTGTATTACCTTACTTGGACGGCACTTCTTAACATTTGTAATTCTCTCCCAGTCTTCAACCTGAACTACGACTTCCGCACAGGCTCCAGTCATTTGGAAAGCAAACAGCACAGGCTTGGTTTGACATTTGACCCAATCGCTAACTAAGAAACACAACAGCACACGAAGACAGCTCCCTGCACTAACTGCTCGGGACGGGTGTTTCAATTATAGCAGTATTCTTTTCAAACTTTTGATCAGTCATTTAAAAGACGACTAGGAAGTCTATTTATCAGTGTTAAGCATGATTATTTGGACCAGCAAAGAGTTTTCCCCTTAGTTGCTACCCAGTTTCTCTCAGTAAAATGCTTCAGGAGATTTTGTTGTGTTCAGGGAACAACATAAGTCAGAAGAAATTTATATTCTGAAGTAACAATTCACACAGGAACGTGGTCATTGGGTCAAGTAGAGAATGGTAGTGACCCCACCATCCTCAAAGCATCACAACCCTTTCCCCAGTCCTCTGTTCCCTACTGCAGGTCTCTGACATGTGTTACAGTGCACTAACCATTGAAACAAAAAATAGGAGTAAGGCCATTGGGCCCTTTGGGCATCAGGAAGGAGCATATTTTTTCCCCTATTCAATCATGGGATATGGAATCACTGGCAAGGGCAGCATTTATTGCCCATCCTAATTACCCTTGAGAGTAGTTATGAGTCAACTATATTGTTGGAGTCAGGAGTCACAAGTGGGCAAATCAGGTAAGGACAGCGGATTTCCGTCCCTAAAAACGAGTGAACCAGATATGTTTTTTTTTACAGCAATCGATGATTGTTCTACGGTCACCATTATTGAGATTTGATTCAACTGCACAGCCTTACTTGAATTTAAACTGATGGTGGAATTTGAATCTCTATGGGATTAACTGTTTATCACCATTTTCCTTTTTTATTTCAAAAATATACATAAAAATCTGAATATACATATTTAGTCAGTACAGCAGTTGGGTTCTGTACAGTCATGGCATATGGAGAACAAACAAACACTGGAGTTTGACTTTCCCAACAGTTCCAACAAACCCAAAGGCATTTCAGCACACAGTCCTGGATCTTGGAACGTGCAAGCATGCAACACTTGGTTCTGGTCAACTCCTTGCTCTGGAAGACCCACAAGTGTCGGGCAGACAAAACGGCATCTTTCACCGAATTGATGGTCCTCCAGGCACAGTCGATGTTTGTCTCAGTGTTCGTGCTGGGGAACGGACCATAGAGCACAGAGTCCCACTTCACAGAGCTGCTTGCGACGAACACTGACAAAAACCATTGTGTCTCTCTCCAGACTTCCTTTGCAAAGGGACCTTCCAGCAGGAGGTATGTGACAGTCTCAACCCCTCCGCAGCTGCTTTGAGGGCGGCGTGGGGTAGCAGAGACCGACAGGGTGTACATGAAGGATCTCACAGGTGGTGACCTTCTCACCAGCAGCCAAGCGATATCTTGGCGCTCGTTGGAAAGTTCTGGCGATGAGGCATTCTGCCAAATGACTTTGACAGTCTTTCTCCCGGAAGGAGAAAGTACAAAGAAAAAAGTTCTGCTTCAAATGATTTAATGTTAAATGTGACAGCTTTGCTCTGATCTGAAGCAATTTAAATCGCACACAGAAATGGGTAGAATTCAATCAAGCCATGACATTAAAACTGAAGGCGTTTTTCTAGTGTAACTTGAGATGCAATAAATCTGCAGATGTTTGCTAGCACAGAACAGCCTGTCCAAAATCCTTCAGAGATGTCTGTGAGCATCTAGCACACATCATACCTTAATATTAAGGTACAGGGGTTAACTGCTAACACTCCCACTCTGTGGCTGAAAGACTTTCACATCAGACAGTATATTCCAGCCTTTGGGCCCCTAACAAGTGAACGAACAAGTTTGCAAAGGCCTGTCAGCATATGACAGAATGTAACTGAGTCCAGCCGGTGTCCTGGGTGACGCTATCGGCGGCTCTTCAGCACAGAGGAATTCCTGCATAGCTGGCTGCAAACAGCAAAGTAATGGTCACAAGGCAGAAAGGGGGCGGCCCTTTATCAGAAAGGTGGCAAGCTTACTCACAAACAGATTTCAGAACAGGTACTTACACTGCATTTAGTCTGGAGCACGCTGCATGGCAGGCAGAGGACGGTGGTGGAGTTTTCTTTTACAAAGCTGGCGAAGGTAACAAGATCATCGGCAGGAAATGGGATAGAAGAATGAGGTACCCTGGAATGTTGCTAATGCCTTTAATAGGATCAGTGCACAATGCAGCAAAGGATATCTCCTCCCCCTACTGTACTGAGCAGCTCCACGAAATCCAAATACATCAGCACAATCCCCTCCTCCCAACCTCCCTGCCCTAAAAGCTACTGACATAACTTCTGCCAAGAAAACATTCCCATGCAACACGCAAACTTTTGCTCCTCTCTGTAATCTTTCACAGAGCACTGTGCAAGAAGCTGGGGGAATGCTCCCTATTAGCTCCTCCCCACACTCAGCCAAAAGACCCGAATTGTGCGATTGTTTAACACAAATCTACAGCCTAAAGCTGGTCTTGGTAAGTGATCAGGGAAGAAGGGAATGTGGTGTATAGTCTGGAGAGTGGTAATGTGTGTGCAGAAGTAATTTGTTGCTTTTACTGATCGGAGATAGCAATGGTCGTTTGAAAAATCCATAGAATGAGAAAAAGCGAAGTTGTAGAGGTTAACGGAAGGAGATCTTTCGGCCCATCGAGCTATTGCTGGCTGGTTACAATCACAGAATTCCTACAGTGCGAAAAGAAGCCGTTTGGCCCATCGAAGCTGCACTAACCCTCCGAAGAGCATTCCTTCCCCCTTAACCCTGCTTATTCCACCTCACCCATAGGGGACAGGGAGGTGCAGGCAATTTAAACATGGCCAATCCTGCACATGTTTGCGCTGTGGGAGGAAACCCACACAGGCACAGTGAGAACGTGCAAATACAGACGGTCACCCGAAGCCAGAATCGAACCTGGCTTCCTAGCGCTGATGAGGCGGCAGCATTAACTACTGAGCCACTTGTACAGCAATACAGGCACTCCTGTTGCTCTGCTGTTTCGCCAAAGCCCCTGCATGTTCATTTTCCTGAAGTGCTCATCCAATTTCCTTTTGAAATCATTGGTGACCTCCACATCCATTGACCTTTCAGGCAGCAGGTTCATTACAATGCGCTGCATAAAATTTCTTTCTCACCACTCCTCTGTACCTGTTGGCCAAAAGCTGTAATTTGTGCTGCGTGGACTTATTACCACCCGAACAATATTTCTTTGACTATTGTCACACTCTCAAAATATAGCTCCATGAACTTATTATAGATGCTTTAGTCTTATATAAAAGGCGTTGAGGCGTCAGATAACCTTTTCGTTCCTGTCCATATACATGGCACTACTCAAGGCCCTGGAGCTGTCTTCATGAGTTATAGGGAGAGGCTGAATAGGCTGGGCCATCTTTCCCTGGAGCATCAGAGACCGAGGGGTGACTTTACAGAGGTTTATAAAATCATGAGGGGCATGGATAGGGTGAACAGCCATGGACTTTTTTCCCAGGGTAGGGGAATCAAGAACTAGAGGACATAGGTTTAAGGTGGGAGGGGAATGATTTAAAAAGGACCTGAGGGGTAACTTTTTCACACGGATGTGTAAGAAATGAGCTGCCAGAGGAAGTGGTGGAGGCATTCATATAAAGAACTCTTATTTGGGCTAAACATTGTAATCTGTTCCTCAGCACTAATGCTTTCTTTCATATCTAAGATTCATCAGAAGGCAGAGACTTTCGGTTGGCTTTTGCATGTCTACTTGAAGGACTTTTGCTACATGTCTATTACATGTCTATTTGAAGGGCCAAGTTTTTGCTGCAGGGAAAACTCAGTAAATCTGTTAGCATCTGTGGAGAGAAAGCACAGGGGTCAGAAGAAGGGTCACTGGACCCAAAATATTAACTCTGCTTTCTCTCCACAGATGCTGCCAGATCTGCTGAGTTGTTCCAGAAATTTCTATTTTTGTTTCTGATTTCCAGCATCTACAGTTCTTTGGTTTTTTTTTGCTATGGGGCTTTGACTGCACCTTGACTGGGCAAATTAGGGAAACCTATTGACTAAAGCAAGACTGCAAAACTGCCTTCATCAACTTTCGAACTCCATTTCTTCAGTGAACCAAAAAAGAGTCGCAGGCCTGCAACATATCAAGACTTTGTTTCGGAGAAATAACTGTGACAATGAATCAAAAACAGAAATTGACACTGAGTACTTGGACATCTTGAGACCCAACACTTTTGTAATCAAAATTCTTTCTTGAGGGATATAACATTGACTTGGTCATAGCAGATAGTAGCGTTGGAAGGGTGCTTTTCAGAATGGAGATCAGTAACTAGTGGTGTTCCGCAGGGATCAGTGCCGGGACCTTTGTTGTTTGTGATATCTATAAATGATCTGGAGGAAAATGTAGGTGGTCTGATTAGTACGTTTGCAGATGACACTAAAATTTGCAGAGTTGCAGATTGTGAGGAGGATGGTCAAAGGATACGATGGGATGTAGATAGATTGCAGATTTGGGCAGAGAAATGGCAGGTGGAGTTTAATCCCAAAAACTAAGAAGTGATGAGTTTTGGAAGATCAAATTAAGGTGCGAATTATATAATAAATGGCAGAACCATTAGGAGCATTGACATACAGAGAGATCCACAGATCCTTGAAAGTGGCAGCACAGTTGGATAACATGGTCAAGAAGGCATACAGCACACTTGCCTCATGGGTCAGGCCATCGAATATAAAAGTTGGCAAATAAAAACCGAAAGAGCCATGGATGCTTTAAATCAGGAACTAAAACAAAGTTACTGGAAAAGCTCAGCAGGTCTGGCAGTATCTGTGAAAGAAAAAACAGAGTTAACGCTTCGGGTCCGGTGACCCTCAGTTCTGAGCTGCTGAGCTTTTCCAACAACTTTGTTTTTGTTGTGTATAAAAGTTGGCAAGTTATGTTACAGCTGTATAAAACTTTATTTAGATGACATTTGGAATATTCCATGAAATTCTGGTTGCCACACTACCAGAGGATGCTTTGGAGAGGGTGCAGAGAAGGTTTACCAGGATGTTGCCTGGTCTGGAGAGTTTAACTCATGAGGAGAGATTGGATAAACTCTTCACTGGAAAGACAGGGGCTGAGGAGCAACCTGATAGAGGTCTACAAAATTATGAGAGGCATAGATAGGGTGGATAGTCAGAGACATTTTTCCAGGGTGGAAAGGTCAACTACAAGAGGGCACAAGTTCACGGTGAGAGGGGGAAAGTTTAGGGAAGAAGTGTGGGGAAAATTTTTCATGCTAGGTGGGTGCCTGGAATGCACTGCCATTGGAAGTGGTGGAAGGAGGCATGTTAGCAACATTTAAGGTGTATCTTAATAGACACATGAACGGGAGGTGAACAGAGGGATAGAAACTGCGTATGGGTGATAAGTAGCAGGTCGAAATTAGGATTAGGAATAGGTGCAGGCTTGGTGGGCTGAAGGACCTGTTCCTGTGCTGTACTGGATTGTATGTGTGTACATGTATCTACATGAGTGAATGAGTGGATTCGATGGTTAATATGTTTTGGCTGATGGCTAATAAACCTTTTTAAAAACTGTTAAGAAAACCTATTATTTTTCTATTTTTAATGGTTACATTACTCAAAGTTAATGAGGAAGTTGTGAATATAGCTGGACTAGTCAGCTATAACCACGCTCATGTTTAGAAAATATAGATTCAGATCCAACCTTGGCAGCTAATGGCACTTAAATTCATGTGAATAAATCTGGAATTCGAAGCTAATTTCAGCGGTGAAGACCATCTGACTATTGTTCGTTCTGAAGTAGTCATATGGAACTTAAAACATTAATTCAGTTTCTTTCTCCAAAAATGCTGCCAAATCTGCTGAGTTTTTACAGTACTTTCTGTTTTTAATTCAAATTTCCAACATCTGGAGTATTTTGCTTTCACTACTTGATTCATCTGCTTCATTAATGTCTTTTAGAAAGGAAATCTACAGTCCTTACTTGGTCTGGCCTACATGGGACTTCAGAGCCATAGCAATGTGGTTAACTCTTATCTGCTCTCCGAGATCACATAGAGGGTTCTTGAATTTATCATTGGAGGCAACTCGGCTCTTGACCTTGTCCTACGGTATGAGGTACTTGCTCCCTATGTGGGATGAGGAAAAGGACTGTAGGGTGGATAGGCAAACTGACCACTGCACTGTGGTACAGGAGGCCATTCAAGCAGGCGAAGCAAGAAGAAAAATGGGAGTGGTAGGGGATTCTATAATTAGGGGTACACATAGCATTACTGAGGCATTGCTGCAGGATGGTCAGGATTGGGAACTAAATGTACCAGATTATAAGGTTTACAGGATGGAGGGAAAATTGCAGAGGAAGTGGAGTAGCCTTACTGGCTAGAAACAAAATTACTCCAGTGGGAGGGAGGATATAATGAGCAGAAAGCATTCAGTAGAGACCTTATGGGTGAAAACTGAGGAACATTAAAGGATCTAAAATTGTAATAGGTGTTGTGTACAGAGTGCCTGGTCATCGTTCTGAAATGCTAGATTGTACATGTAGGGGAGGCGATAGCCTAGTGGTATTATTGCTGAACTGTTAATTTGAATTCAATAAATATCTGGAATTATGAATCTAATGATGACCATGAGTCAATTGTTGGAAAAACCCATCTGGTTCACTAATGTCCTTTTGGGAAGGAAACTGCCATCCTTGCCTGGTCTGGCCTACATGTGACTCCAGACCCACAGCAATATGGTTGACTCTTAACTGCCCTCTGGGCAATTAGGGATAGGCAATACATGTTGCCTAGCCAGTGACACATTCATCTCCTGAATGAATAAAGGACATATGCAGAAAGTAGGCAAGAGTGGAGCAAAATCAGAGTTGTATTAACTGGGGGATTTTAACTTTGACATAGATTGGGAGAGGCAGACAAGCACCTGTCATTTAGACAGTGAATTTCTGGAGTGTGTTCAGGATAGTTCCCTACAGCGATGCGTCCTGGAATAAACAAGGGGAAAAGCAACATTGCATTTAGTAATTGGTAAGGAGCTGGATTTGATTGGCAACCTAATTGTGCATGAAAATTTACCCAATAGTGCTCATAACATGATCGAGTTCAGTGTAGTTTTTGAAAGTGAAAAGCGCGAATCAGCTGCTCGATTTTTACATTTTAGTAAGGCCAACTTTAACATGGTGAGACAGAGACTGTCCACAGTAAACTCTGGAAGT